ATTTGGGGTAAAATTGGGAGTTCATAACCCACTTCAATCTAATGTATGAAATATGATATGTCAAGAGCTTTGTAATGTTGTGAACAACCAATAAAAAAAAGAAAGAAAATATGGTAGATATACACAATGGAAAATTATTTGACCATAAAGAAGAATGAAATTATGGCATTCGCCAGTAAGTGCATGAAACTAGAAAGTATCATACTAAGTGAAATAAGCCAGTCCCAAAACACCAAAGGCCAAATGTTCTCTCTGATAAGTGGATGCTAACCCACAACAGGGAGGGGAAGATCAGAAGTCTACACTGGACTACACAAAGGGGAACGAAGGGAAGGGAGAGGGGATGGGAACAGAAAGACAGTAAAATGAATCAGACATATCTTTCCTATCCCTATATATGAAAACACAACCAATTTAACTCCACGTCATATACAACCACAATAATTGGGTCCTAATTGGAAAAGTTACACTTTTTCTATGTATGTATAATAGTCAAAATACAGTCTACTGTCATGTATATCTAGAAAGCACAAATTTTTAAAAAATCTGTACAAGCAGCAGTTAGACTGCTATATTTTTCTCTCTGACTATTATTCTCCCACCATAATAGAGGACTCAAGATTTACTTTGGAAAGATTCAAGTAGGAAGACTCTGGATTCTTGGACAACAGACTTAGCTAAAGATTGGAATATCACCTGAAAGCAGAAGATTAAGTAAAAGGCTACACACACTGAATTGGTGGGAACCAGCCCCCAGCTTCATTCCCTCATTTGATTGTAGAGCACTGACAGCATCCCTGGAAGAGATCTAGAGTACTCTGTTCAAGGTAAAAAGACCAACAAGAGAATAAGAAAAAACAAAACCAAGAAAAAAGACCAACAGAATGAGAATAAGAAAAAACAAAACAACAAAAAGATGGGTGGGGAAAGTGGAGTGGTTCAGCACCAGGGTTTAATCACCTGTACTGTAAAAAAGAGGGAGAGAGGGGTAAAGGAAATTCCCTAGGCTTACTGGAGCAAGGGCACAGGGGGCTCTCAGGTTTGATGATTCCATCAGCCTAAAAGAACAGACTGTCAAGACTGAATAGGCAAAGATGATATTTACAGTACCGACAGGAATTTGGGGATAAATTACTGTAGATATACAGTAAACAAAACAAATATTAAAAAAAGAAAAAAGTACTCATCGCCATTAAAATAAAGTGGAGCAAAATTTTTAATTTTTAAAAAGAAAACTTAAATTTTGATAAAAGTTAAAAATATGTATAATTCCAATACTTGATATTACTGAGCCAAAAAACTGGATTGTGAACAGAGCATAATGTCTGAATAAAGCGATTTGGCGGGCTGGTGACTTTTCAGTAATGGCAAGATCCAGGGTGTGACTATGTGACCAGGTCACTAAAGAAAATGAAGAAGGAATCAAAAGGCCAAAGTGTTAGCTGATTGTCAATCTAGATGCTAAAGGTACTAAAACTGATGGTGTGTGACTGTGCTGGTATTTCCACCTTTCTCTATCATCATTTCTGCTACAGTAAGCTGACCTATATATAGGTTATCAACAGGTTGCCAGGTCCCAAGGCTTCTGATTGTGTTTGCACAACAGGGAATCCCAGTAGGAGAATAGAAGAATAAAGAAAGGAAATTCATTCCTTCAACTCCCTCCCTGAAAGGGCCCTTAAGCTAGCCATGTCCCTTCACATGAAAGTCACCCACCATTCCTCTCAAGGCAGTCAAGTAATTATCCCTCTTCCCCTTCAAGTGATGTTAACAGTTTGGCTACAGATTATTACACTATTTCTTGTGGTACCATTACACCTGCAACATTATAAATAGTACCTTTACAAAGTAAACTCTCTTCAAATTGCCACCTGTTCCTGTTGAGACCACTCTTGTCAAATATGCCACCTGTTCCTGTTGAGACCCTACTAACAATGATAGTAATAATGAAAATGATGGTGTTGATAGGTTGTAACAGAGAAGAGCAAAAAGGAGAGAAGTTACTAATATTTAAATAATAACTTCTAACACAATTTGAGCTCTATACTGAATAGCTTTTCAAAGCTCTTTATAGATACTACCTCATTTAATCATAACAATTACCCTATGTTACAAGCACTGATTATTTTGTGGTTCATTTCTAAATATAAAAAACCAGCACAGTTGCTGGTTCTAAGGACTCAAATACTGATTTTAAATACACACAACAATATGCAAATTTAGCAGTGATACTAACTACTTTTGTAGTACTGCTAAGCATTCCTCTTATATATATTTTAGAAAACTATATGAATATAAAGGAATTGTGACTTCCCAGATCAAAGAAACTAAACTCTAAAGGGGACATATGTGAATAACTTCCTTATGTAGCCTACAGTAAAGTCCTATTTGTCTTCCCGCAAAGTAAATAAGGATTTAGGCCCCAAATTTTAAGTGTCATATTCAAAGTTGCAAATTTTAAAACATTTATTATGTACTTCTAGCCTACTGGCTTATTTAATAGAGCAGAGCACCTTTAAATATCAGTTATGAGTTAAACATATAAAAGGCAAGAGGGTAAACAGAAAAACATGGTTGTGAGTAAAATCACAAAATAAGGGAAAGATAAAGGAGGCTGTGGATGTAGCTCAGTGGTCAAACACTTGCTTGCTCAGCACGCAGTGAAGCCCTGAATTTGATTTCCAGCACCACGGAAAAAAAAAAAAAAAAAGTAACAGTGGGCGTTTTGTCAGTATCATCAGTTTTCAAAGTACTTCACAACTCAGGGCAAATCTTACATTTATGACCTACTTCAGCAAGATCACCAACTATACACACTTCCAGAAACAGCACAACACGCATAAGTGTGAAAATTAGGGAATAAAGCATAAGGAACAAGGAAATACAATATATGTAAGTGACAACTGAACATTTCACTAGATACTTACACAAACATACAGAATAACTGAGATAGCTACGATGTCCATCTTATAAATAAAAACCTAAAAGTCAGGGAAATAGGTTAGAGGACCAATATGAAGCAAAAGAGAACTTTTAAGTTTTTCTGAAACCAGAATTGGCTTTTTTTTTTTTTCATCTGTATTATGTTGCACTCCAAAGCAAAGAGAAAATTCACAAGTATACGAATCTAGAAACCTGAGAAGTTTCGAGAATAATGTTTCAGAACTGGAATGAAAATTGGCAAAGACTAGTGAGGTGTGCGGCTACCTTCCCACGTTTGGGAAGAACTGCCACATACAAACCTTGGACATGGAGGTGAGACCGATAAAGCATCCTTGAGTGGAAGGTAGAGAAGCACTGAGATTTGATTTGGTTGAAGACAACATAGAAAAGCACGGTCTAAGGAGTAACAGCAAGGACAGAACTTAAAGAGGGCTGGACCCACGCCACAAGCAAGAAGTTCAGGACCTACAAACCAGATTCTACGGGGGGAGGAATGGGCCAGTTCGCGAGCGATCAGCTGCGACTAGTTTCCGAAAAGCGACATAGATGTAGCTTCGCAACCCCACCCCACAACAGCAGCTCCTCCCCAAGGAGGACCTCACAAGGGCAACCGCCCGCACACGCTCTCCCCTAGAGCTTACGACCCACCCAGCCCTGGGCCCCGCGGCGCAGAACGGCCTCTCTGGGCCCCTCACCGAACGCTGCAGCTCCCCAAGCCAAAACGAGGCGCGCTCCTTTCCGCTGGGATCCGGGTCGTGGTAAAGCGCCTGCACTGCCTGGTACACAAGCTGCAATGTCGGTTTTGCTCCTTCCATGGTGGTGGCGGCAGTGGTGACAGCGACAGTTCGGATTCTTCTCAGGAGGCTTCCCGGTTGCTCCGCCTTCGCGCTTCCTTACTGTCTTGGCCACAGCCGCTCCCTGACTGGCGCCATCTCCTCCTCTTTGGCCGTTACCAGGGCAGAGGGGTTCACTGTGGAAGTTGGCCCCTCGGAAACAGCGGATAGATCGTATTCAGGTTCCTTTTCTTTTTTTTCCGTCTTTTCACTGGTATCCAGACTCCTGAGTCCGGATGCTGATTCTTGATTCTTCACCTGCTGATTTACGTTCAGAAGCCGATCTCCGCACGACACCAGCCACGTTGTGTACCTAAGCCGCGTTTAACCGGACCGGAAGCGACAGCCCAGTACCTTTGGCACACTTCCGTCTGGTGCTCTACAAACGGCCTCCTTCCCGGCACGCCTCCTCTTGTCTCCCCGCCCCCTCCCGGAAGTGACCCTTCCAGGAGAGAAGTGTGGAAGAAAGGGTACGCTGTGGTTTTCTACGTCCACCTTGAGCTTTAGGACCGATTTGTGTCAAGTACCTGAGCCGTCCTTCCCTCCTTGGCAAGGGTCAGAGGTCATCTCTCTCCCTCCTGACTTCCTCATTCCTCTCTTGAGAATCCCTTCTGTCCCGGGTTGGTGATCAAGGCGCGTCAATTGAGCTATCTGGGATGTCCAATGTACCAGAGATTGAGATGACTTAAGACACGGTTCCTGCTCAGACCCTGGTGAATGAGACATGTAACCGACTAATTATTTACAAACCTGAAACGTGCCACATTGAATAATCCAAAAGGACTAGAATCTATCAACCTCCGTTTTCTACTAAGTTCTTTGACCCAAAAGGAGTCTCATTCTACTGCTTGTGACGTGACTTTCCGAACTCCAGAGCACATGCACGTATCTGCAGGGCCATTATCACATTAGTTTGTATTTTTGTGTGTATGCCTTTCTTTATGAATCTAAAATCAGTAGTCTAATAATTCTCAATTTCACAAAAGAAAATAAAAACCCACACTGGAGAAATTTAACACGAAAAATAGCAGCGTGTTAACGGGTTCCCCAACACTGCTCCTCTCTTTGCATATTTGATAAATGCTTATAATGTGTAAAATACTATAGTTATGATAGCTAAAACCTTGCCAAATTATCATTTTAAAGAATGAGAATTTTAAAAAACAAGAGAATGAAGGTAATGTAATTTGCCCAAGGTCACACATTTTTCAATGAAAAGAATTGAATCCAGATCCATTTTCCTTCAAATACTGTGAAGTAGTACAATTCCTATCATTCTGTGGGGTAGTTTTCTTCAGAATTATTATTGTCAAGGTATTTTAACTAGCCACACCATGATGAATAAAACTGTTATTGTAGAGTTGATATAATTTCAGGCAAAGAAAAGAAACCTTATGCTTAATCTACCTCAGTGATCTATTTGGTGGAAAAAAATGAGTTTTAATAACACCACCTTGGTCTCAGCCCTCATGGAATTTACAATCTAATTGTAAAGAAAAACAAACAATTTAGGGCTGGGGGGGGGTGGTG